CATTTTGAAATTCAAAGGAAAAATAATTATCCTTCTTACTGTAGTCTGACTCCTACATAAAAAAAAAGAAAAAGATCTTGCCATTAGACAAATTCATCAAGCAATTAAATATGTCATTTGTAACAAACTCCATTATCTTATTGCAGGAGATTTCAACTCCTACCCTAAAGACAACCCTTCTATTGGAGCCAAAACCTTGTCTCACAAGCAACTAATATATAACTATCTTGTTAACTATATAAATATATAATAACAGTATAACAGCAAGGAATTTACACACTTCATTGCCACTAATGCTTCCTGTATAGATCAAGTATAAATTTCAAGAAACTTTGCTTCTAAGGTAATTTGGTATGAAGTATTGGAAGTCGATACAATTCCAACAGACCATTGAACAATATTAATAAAAATAGACTATTTCAAATTCAGAAACGTTAGATCAAAGTTTAAGTTTGATCTAAACAAGACTTCAAAAGAAAATGTCCTAGAGTTCACAAAGGAATTAGATTTGTGGCTTACACTTCTACTATCACTCAATTGGCACAACTTTCATAACATTTGTATTAACACTCACAACAAACATATTAAAAAGTCCAGAGTCAACTTTATCAAGAAAGATTATTATACTAATGTTGAGAGAAAACTTAAAAAACAAACTAGAAAAATTAATAATATAATGATACAACTTAAAAATAATCATCCATCTCTATTCCTTCTTGATCAAGAACTTCTATTCCTTTATGAGATCTCTAATCGAGACTTTAACATACAGTATCAATTAAAGGCCTCCAAAAACTGAAGAAACTTTTAATTAAAGAAGCTTTAGCCCAGTTATAACAAGAAACTATCAAAGAATACTACTTAAATTTAGAAAACATAATAGATAACTAATTTTAATAATATAAAGTTATTGTTTTTATTTATTTTATGCCAAAAATCCAAACATTGTTTTTAGATTCTATAAAGATTAAAGTTTAGTTAGAAATGTTTTTTCAATGGGATTGAAAAAAATTTTATTTATAAAGCAATAAAGTTAAGAAAATATTATTGAATATGATTAGTTTGGAATTCAATATTATGATTTTTGTATAAAAAAATAATTTTTTATTTATTTTAAAATAAGACTTTAAGTTTTTGAAATTAAAAGAATTATATGTAATTTATTAATAAATTCAATTTGAATACAATTTAATAATAGATAAGTAAAGATATATATATTAATTTAATATTATCTTATTTCTTAAATATTTATAAATCAAAATTTGTTCTTATATTTTTTAAATGATAATTGACAAATAACAAAAAGACAAGTGAGTTTAACCCAGAATAATTATTATCTATTTGTAATAAAATTTATTGATATACTTATTCTTTTATATTGCAGATTATAAGTTAAATCTATTATGTTTTTATTTGTTTTATTAAATTAATATATATTAAATAAGATCTATTGTTTCTTAACTATTACTATTGTAGATAGTAAGTTAAATTCAGAATATTTTTGTTGTTGGTTTTGCAAAATCTTGTTGTTTAATTAATATTAATTGTGAATTTTTATAATATAATTAGTAAGTTAATTATAAATTATATTTTTTTTCATAAATTGTATAAAAAAATAAGTCTTAATTGAATTTTCATTTTTTATTATTTCAGATTGTAAGTTGAATCCAAAATGTTTTTTATTACTTGCTTTATAAATTTACAAAATAAGATTTAATTGTATTGATTATCAACTTATAATATGTAAGTTAAATTCAAGAGATTGTTATTTATTAAATAAAATATACCAAATGAAATTTAATTAACAAGTTATCAACTTTATTGAGAGTAAATCAAATTAAATATATGTTTTTTTTGTAAAACAATATACAGAGTGTTGCAAAAAAAATAACAATTATATTTTTATTTGTAACTTAACAATAATTATTTAAAAAAATAATAAATTTAAATATAATTAAATTAACATCTATAAAATAATTTTATTTAGAGTTACTTTATTAATTAATTTACAATTTAATTAGATATTTTAATTTTAATAAAAATTTTATATTGTACTTTTTAATTTCAATTTAATTTCAATTTAATTTTTGTTTAAAAAAAAGTAATATAGATATGTATTTATATAGGTATTGTTTTTTAAATAAAAGATTTTAAAAAGTAAATAAAGAACAAGATAATAAATTAAATATTTTTTTTTAGAAAATATATAAATTTTAATATAATAAATTTTTAATTAAAATTTTTAATAAATCTATATCTTTTAAAATATAAATTAAAAAATTTTTTTGCTATTTTTTTTTACATTTTGTAAAATATATTAATTGTTCAAAGGACACTCTAATGTACAACAATAGTGATCTGAATATGTATACCTTCTGATTATATGATACATAAGTGATAGTAGCATACAGTATCAATTTAACAGAGTTTTTATATTACAGTATAGCATTTACAATTAATACAATTAATATTCTTCAACAATTAGGAGTTGAGTTTTTGGGTCATAATTATATAATATATTTTCACATCACAACAAAAATCATTGATATGATGGAGATCAATAGTTATGATGGTGCAATGTATTTACTGTATAAGCTAATTTAAATGATAAATAAACCAAAGATTGTATAAATAGATGTTGCTGCATGTGTTAGTAATAGTTCTTTTGACTTTAAATGATTTCCAGTTACTTAATTAAATTAATTATATACTTTTAAAGCAAATAAATAGAATCAAAGATATTTATATTTATTTGTTTTTGCAAATTACATAAATTATATTAGATTGTTTTTCATTGCTGTTATAGATAATAAGTTGAATTTAGAAAATTGTAATGTTTTGCAAATCACAAATCAAATTTAATTAAATTAATCATTAACTTTTATAGAATGTAAGTTAAATTTAAAATTTGTTATTTTTTAAACATATAAAATGATATTTATTTTAGTTGGTAAGTTAATTTCAGAAATTGTTGTTTGTTTTATAAATCCTATAAATAATATTTACTTATATTGATTGTAGCTTTTATTAAGAATAAGTTGGAATCAAAAAATTTGCTGTTTGCTTTGTAAAATAATATGAATAGAAACTAATTATATTGACCATCAACTTTATAGATAGTAAGTTGAATTCAAGATGTATTTATTATTTCATAAAATTATATGAAAATTGATTATCAAATTTTATAGTAGGTAAGCTGAATCAAGGATAAAATCATATGAAATAATTTTTAAAACTATTTGTTTTGTAGATTGTAATTTGAATTTATGACAATTTTATTTATTTTATAAATTTATAAAAAAATATTTAAGTGTATTGATTATATATTTATAGTAAGTAAATGAATTAGATAAATTTTATTTGTTTTATAAAATTATACAATATATATTAATTATCAACTTTATAGTTTGATGGTAGTTAATGTCACAAGTATGAAAATATTGTAAAAGGTAAGTGTCAGTCAATTATTATACAGAAAAGTCACTAAAAAAATGAGATAATGAATTAGAAATAAATTAATAAAAATGTAACTACCATTTATTATACAAGACTTTGAAACAGCTTTGATATAAGGACCAATGGTTAGTAGAAATTCACCTATTATTATGGATAAAATTGGCACAGCCATTAAACACAATATCATGTTACATCATCCTGTTGTCATGATCTGTGAGGAAATTAAGGTGTAGAAAAGTTTAGTGACGGAAATTTCTAGAGTAGTATAGAATAGTGAAATAACAGGCATATATATAAATACATGTGTCATTCAGTAGCATGTAGACAATTTAGAAGAAAGTTTAGTTTAAAGTTAGTAATGCCTAAGTAATAAACAATAAAGAAACGTTTGACGGATAAACTCTTACCATGTGTTTAGTGTGCCAAAGAAGACTTGTAACTTGGGCTATGTGACTATAAGAGAGAGTCAAGAGTTAACTAAGGGAATTGGCATTGGAAAGATTCTAGGTTAGTCAGTAGAGAAGTTAAAGTAAGAGAACGGCCAAATTGGAAACATGCCTCAAGAGCTAAAGAAACTTACCTTATTGTGAACAGAAAAAGCGACAAGTAGTATGGGCTTGCCAGAGAGCCCACAAAATTTGGTGATGAACCGTGAGGTTTGGATATTAACAAACCAAAAATGACATTCATTTATCTCCCAATAAATTATAAACGTATTAATTTACGTTGATCAATTAACACTATTAACAAACAAAACCTTAATCATACACTTATCTTTTCTGAAGAAACTAGAGATAAGCCTGTGATATCTGATTAGTAATGTAGAATAAATATGACACAACCGACATTCTTCAAGAACTAGTGAGAACATTAACCAGTTTAAAGAAAGACAAGACTCAACTGGTTGGAGTGCACAATTTCAGTGGAAAGAAGTGAGAAGATCTGTATTCCTGGCTAGATTCATATGAAAAAGCTACGGGAACTAACGGTTGAACAAATGCCTGAAAACTAAGACATGTAATGGATTACCTAGAGAGATGTGCAACAAACTGGTACGAAGTTTGCCAGGATCACCTTGAACATTAGAACCATAGGGGTGACCGTAGAGAAAGCTTTGTGTCAGACTTCCTCTGATATTGAGCAACAATGACAGTGGCTGTCGGAGCTCGCGAAATTAAAGCAGGGTAAGAATGAGGAAGTTGCAACCTACGCTCAACTATTTCGGATCTATTGAGAAGAGTTGACTCCGACAATGGTGAACCTGGAAGGGATGAGGTAAGAACATTTATAAGAGGATTAAGAAAAGAGATTGCATCAATGCTTGCCATCAAGAACGATGCCACGTTAGATGAAGTAATAGATGGCACAGAGCGGATCGAAAAGAAGATAGAATTGGGTTGAAGATGAGCCTAAAGTCAACGGAAGAACGAGAACCAACAATAATCAAGAATAAAGCCAAAATTTGCAAAGTAGGATCCTGGGAAACACAAAAATACTTACCCAACAAGGACGAAAATAACGATACACTCTCTCCCATCGGAAATATGCAGTCGCCATCCTTCAAATTCGACACAACAGAAAAAAAGTGCAGACAAAAAAATAACAAAGGACAACAAAGAAACCAGCAAAGCCCAAACTATGAATGAACCGAAATTGAAAGACAAGGAACAAATGGAACAAAGAGAGAATCATCGACGCCATCAAAAGAAAGCAAAAGGAAAGTGGCAAAAGAAAATCTACGAAGGACAGAACGAAAGGAGAAAGCAGATAAGTTAACAAAAACGATATCGGTGAGGAAGCAGAAGGTAACAAACAAGAAAAAGTCACATCTGAATGATATGATTCCTATTGCATAATCTTCTGAGAAAGAAACCCCCAAAGCATCTTGACGAAGAATCGAAAAGAACGAGGAGGGAACAATGAATCACAGCATTGCAGAGTTCATCATATATTCATCACGACTAGAAAAATCATCGATGCCATCAAGAGAAAGTGAAGAGGCAGCAGGAGCTGGATCTACAGAAGACAAGATGGAGAAGCAGGCAGATGAGTCGACAAAGGTGATAGTGGTGAAGAAATGGAAGGAGACAAACAAGGAATGACCACAACCAAATGACACGAACCACAACCAAATGATGTAAACCACAACCGAATGACGTGAATCACAACTGAATGACGCAAACCACAACTGAACGACACGAACTACAACTGAACAACGTGAATCACAACTAACGACGCAATTCACAACTGAACGACGCGAATCATAACTGAATGACGCAAACCATAATCGAATGACACGAACCACATCGCATGTTCATCACCAAGAAAGAAATAACAAAAGCCATCCGAGAAAAAACTAGTGAAGGAGATGGGACACACGGAGATAGTACAATACATCTCTGACATCATTGATAATATTCCGGCCAGACGAAGCTAAGACATGGTTGACCAAGGTGCAGGGGGAGTTAATCAAAGAAGGAATAGCACGGACCACTATTAGGAGCGACAAGATAGATAAATAATAAAACTTATCTGCATTACATTAGCAACTTAGATATACTTTGTCGTAATTTTGTGGTGGAGCTTAACGTCGACCTATCATCCAAGGAAAAGGTCAAATAAATCTAAGTTTCCCGTTCACGTGACATTAATTAGAATTTATTATTTGGCACACTGTCACTAACCGGTAGTGCGAACTAGAAGATTAAAATTAGTCTTATGTACAGTGTGCATAAGATAGGCACGGGGAAATGTTATGGGCAAAATCAGCACAGGCATGCAATGCGAAATCATATTACGTCATTCTATTTTCATGATTTGTGACGATTTAGAGAGTTTAATTTAAAGTTAATAATGTCTAAGTAATAAATAATAAAGTAACGTTTGACGGATAAACTCTTACCTTGTGTTTAGTGGGCCAAAGTAGACTTGTAACTTGGGCTACGCAACTGCAAAAGAGAACCGAGAGTTGCCTAAGGAAATTGGTTCTAGGTTAGTTGGTAAAGAAGTTAAAGTGGGAGAATAACCAAATCAGAAACATGCCTCAAGAGTAAAAAAAACTTACCTTATTGCGAACAGAAACAGCAACAAGTAGTGTGAGCTTACCCGAGAGTTTATAACATTATTTACTATATTCTAAAATAAAAATTAAAAAGTATTTGTTATAAATAAATTTATACTTGCAAATTAATTCTTACCTGACCTACCTGTACCCACCCTCCATCCCTAACCTCCCACCAACCATACCTACAAAATCTGTTAGTATATAAAAATAAAAATTCTATCTGTAACCTACCTGTACCCACCCTCCATCCCTAACCTTCTACCAACCATACTTACAAAATCTGTTAGTATAGAAAATAAAAATCTTATCTCAACCATATCTACAAAATCTGTTAGTATATAAAATAAAAATCCTACTTGAGACCTACCTGTACTTACCCTCTATCCCTAATCTTTCACCAACTGTACCTACAAAATCTGTTAGTATGTAAAATAAAAATCCTACCTCAACTGTACCTACAAAATCTGTTAATATATAAAATAAAAATCTTACCTGCAACCTACCTGTACTCACCTTCCATCCCTAACCTCCCACCAACCATACCTACAAAATCTGTTAGTATATAAAATAAAAATCCTACCTCAACCGTACCTACAAAATCTGTTAGTATATAAAATAAAAATCTTACCTGCGACCTACTTCCATCCCTAACCTCCCACCAACTATACTTACAAAATCTGTTAATATACAAAATAAAAATCCTACCTCAACCGTATCTACAAAATCTGTTAGTATATAAAACTAAAATCCTATCTGCGACTTATCTGTATCCACCCTCCATACCCAACCTCCTGCCAAATCAACTTTAATATCTTTTTGGCATCTCGGAGAATAAAAATCGTGATATGGCGCCAGTCACGTAACTAATAGTTGCAATAGTGCCATGAAGGACCCATTCCTATCATGGTATTTGAGGAGATAAAATAGAAGAAAATGATGGGAATTGGTTAAAATAGTAGTAGAATAGTGTGTTAAAAAATTAGGTAATGAGGAAAGGACGATTAATGTAATTAGGGAGAATCACGAGAAGACATTGGATAATCGATGTCACCATATTTTTCGAAATGTAAAAACCGTCACAACTAAAATATATAAAAGATAAAGTGAAAGTAAACAAAGGAAGTGAATTATCTTTTACTCTGCCAAATCAAACACGCCTTAAACTTCATAAAATCTCTTACCATATCAATGGTTATGTGACACTCTGCCCCACTTTAGCGACAGACTCTCCGATTGACTATCACAAATTTGGTAGTGACTGATATTCGATGCTTCATTACCCCACCCCGATATTTTCCCGTGAACACCTTTTTAATACTTTTCTGACTCCTATAAAGAAAAAAAAAACATTAAAGACTAACAAAATGCTTTATTTACCACCCAACTTTATAAATTTTACTTTCTTTTTACTTACCCTATCCTTTTAGACACCTACGCAGCAGTTAGAGAAAAGAACGACCTGACCTAACAAAGGCACAACAAGAGAAATTGACGATAAAGACTTAAAATGATATTAATACCTGTGCGATACCCGTGACAATCTTTTAAATGGCAATAAATTTTCAAATTGGTGGTGACGCAACTACCAGACTTCTCCAACAGCTAGACGTCTTGCAAGTGCTAGCATATACTTTTGGCAACATGGGAAATTCAAAAGTTAGGAGCCAAAAGAAAGGATAGAAGTCGACTGAGTTAGATTGTCTTCCTTTGAGAGTAAAGTCGGAGAAGACTCACAACGATGGTTAAAATGCCACCGAATCCAACGATTGGTTAGGGAATAAAAGGTTAAAAGGAATAGGCAATTACCTGGAAGGTATTGCGAAAGAATGGTAAGAGGATGATTGCAACCAGTTCGTCTATTGGAACGAGTGTAATGATGAAAGAAGCTTTGTGCCGACCTTCCTATGGCATTTCACATTGCTTGAGCAACGGCACCGATGGCAATCGGAATTAGAGAATTTCGAGCAAAGGAAGGACGAAGCAATAACTGAGTACGTTCAAAGGTTTGGAAAGCTACTTAAAAAGCTTTATCCTAAGAACGATTATTCTAGAGAAGTAAAAAGATGATTGCTTGTAGTCAGACCGAGGAACGACGTATTGTTGTTGCCCGCCGTTAGAAATGCATTCACGCCAAAAAGAGGCACTTATGGAACCTATGATGCTGAAGATTGTCCAGGAAAGAAAAGTTGTTCCCAGGAGTCACCTTGGATAAATGGAGCACAACTCAGAAAGGATAGAGGGGAGCTGGAACATCCATTACACACCAAGAGCAACGACGAGATATCCTGAACCACAAAATAAGAACGTGCCTGCAGAAGAAACTGCAGATGATTACCCAAACAAGACCCAAGAAGGAGAGTGCGTTATTATGGATGCTCCAGCGGAATTACCAGACGAAGCATCAAGACCCATCTATGACAAAGCCCCGATGAAAGCCGATGCCGGGATGCTAAATCAAGAGGATAGTGACATGATGACAAAACAAACGAACGGGACATTAGAACTCGCCAACGAGATAACAACTGCGCAAAAGGACACGGACAAATACCTAGGAGAAACAACGGAGTATTTCAATGATGACAAAGCCGTATCAAATCAAGGTGGTATGGGAAAAGATGACGTAAACAAGATAGTAAGCCAACTAGAAGAAACTGACAAAATAGTTATACAGGACCCAAGGGGGAAGAAAAACCAAAGGACAATAAGAAACCAACCTATAGGTATGTCCCATGCGACGAAGTGGAGAACGAACCAAAAATAGAAGAGAAGCCAATAGTGACCCACAAATGAAATAAAGAATGTTACGAAGGAAGAGAAATGCGACCAAAAGACGAGCCGCGACAACATATCAATAAAAAAGCCCAAAATGGAAGTGACAGATACTTAGAAAAGGAGATCCCATTCGTGTACGATAACCCGCCCAATGAACCCTACAGCACAAGAAAACGATTGTCCATCACGAATGATCTCGACTTCGGAGAAGGATATGAACTCACATGTGGGAACTTGATAGGCATAAGCATGAAAGAGGAAGAATCAGCACAAATAACGAGCGATAGGAAGAACGACAAGAGCATAAGCTGTAGCAACACTCCTTTAGAAGCCTCGAACCCATAGAGGAAATGACGACCGACCACTCAAGTAAGGATCTGAGGGAATGCCACGACAATGACGAAACTCTGAAGATCAAAATGATAAGAGCAACAACAGTGAATAGGAAGATAACGTTGGAGGATGCCTCGAAGGTGAAAAAAGACAACACTTATGCGAACCGACCCATTCGACGAATCTTTCGGCCCAAGAAAACGATCACAAAACCAAGAAGGAGAATATAACATCACGCGAAATAACTCCGCGGACAATAAACCAGACCCTGGAGATGCTTGACCGGAGATAAAAGAAATAAGCTTGTTAGGAAATGCCGACGCGGAATAAGGACCAAGAAACCGCGACAATGTACCTGTGGAAAATTACGCTGTCATCGATACATGCTGTCAGAGGGTAAAAATCGTGACGCGATTACAGAACATGACCAATCGTCGTAATAGTGCTGTGAAAGACCCATTCCTGTCATGGTACTTAAAGTGGTATGATGGAAAAGTGTAAGCAAAAGTAATGGGAAGTGGTAAAAATAGTAGTATAATAGCGTGTTAGAGAGTTAGATAATAAGGGAAGGATCGTGAGAACAATTAAGTAATTATTGTGACCAAACATTATGTAATTAGGGAGAATCACGAGAAGACAGATAATCGATGGCACCTTGATTTTCATAATGTAAAAACCGTCCCAACTATGACGTATAAAAAGAGGGAAGTAAAAAGTAAATAAAGGATATTGATTGATTGAGTTATCGTTTACTCGACCAAATTGTACACACCTCAAATTTTCGCTAAGACCCCTTACCTCATCGACGGTTACGTGACGTTCTGCCAAATTTAGTGATAGACTCGCCGATTGACCGTCACAATATCTTTTTGGCTTCATATATTGAGCCTCTTTGCTTATATTTCGGTTGGCTCCACGTACAAAATGTATGAAACACATACAGCGCATATCTTTTCGTCTTCACCAGTTAAGTCCATTTGCTTATATTTTGGTTGGCTCCATGTACGAAACACGTACAGCACATATCTTTTCAGTTTCACTATTAAGTCCCCTTGCTTATATTACTGTTGGCCCCACGTATGAAATGTATGAAACACGTACAGCGCATATCTTTTTGGCTTCCCCTATTAAGTCCCCTTGCTTATATTTTGATTGACTCCACGTACAAAACATATAAAAGACGTATAGCGCATATCTTTTTGGCTTCATCTACAAAAGGTACAAACAAATCCTCGCAAAAAAAAAATCGAAATTTATGACGCGTACAAAATTATGTCATAATTATAGTATGTACAGTACTGTATATGGTGATTGGTTGATCAAAGCAATTTTCACGGGTTTTGGTTTGACAATCAATCAAAATAACTGACCATTCGGAACACTATAGTTCTTCAAATTATGAAGACAACGGATTCTCCAACAAATTAGCGATTATTACATATTCTGGTCCTTATACAGTAAGTACAACATACTGTATGTATCAGATTTGTATACGTCCGTTATTATACAACTATAATAGGTTTTCAGGGTTACAGAAAATTTCCGTTATCATACAATGGCGCATCACAATGCACAAACTTTATACTGTACAGTATCCAGATCCCTTGATCTGCGCTTTAGTCTCCTAACTGCTAAAAGAAAAATACATACAGGAATGGTTATTCGAAGCCCGTTATTCGTAAAATTATGGATATGCGTGATTTTAATCTTACAGTATCAACAGTAAATGATTACTTGAGATTTGACAAAGTAAAATAAAAATTTATGATATACAGTAATATCATGAATATTTGACTTGCGACAATGTTTCTTTAAACTTTTAAGAAGTTACGTACGATAAGTATATTTTTATGCCAATATTTTTGCGAAAAGTATTTGTAATATAAAATATAATTTTAATCGTGATGCTTAATACATAATATTAGTCTAGTGAAATAAATAAAAATGTCTGAATACCAAAATAAGAAAACCTTGATTCATTCAAAAAAATCAAGTACGGGAAAAAAAAAATAACGCCATATTGCCTAAAAAAATTCTATACTCTATAAAAATTCCATGATTTACCTAAAAGAAACTTAATAAACAAAATTATGCTATAAATAATGGTCTCGTCATCAAAAATTAAAATAATTGTTGATTGCACCATTTTCTATACTTGATGCCGAATAATTATTGTTAAAAATGTCAAAATTGACACTAGAAAGCTCATTGACATCTAAGGAAAAGAACAACTGAGTTTCGGTAGGGGGAAAAGTTAACTGATTTGATAAGACATCATTAATACAATCAATTTGATAAAATTGATTTTCTAAAGGATAATAAGGCCAGGTTGAGATTGGTGTAAAAGGAGGATACAAAAGAGAATTATTTGGAAAATTTAATTCGTCCATAGGATATTGAGGAGTAATCGATGGAGGTTCTTCTAGGGATGATTTGTTTTGCGGATGATTCGTTTTAATAGTTTGATAATAAAGCTGTTCAGCTTCGTTTGAGATTTTAACATAGATTTCCTTTACGAAAGAGGGTTCCGCCTTCCACGAACGTGAGATCATTGGCGAAAGCTCAGTCATTGGAATTTTATAACCATTATCCTTTAAATATTTAACATAGGTACTTCGATAAATTATAAAAGAATTCGGAAACCTTGCCACTTTTGGTTTTGAAATTAACTTTTCAACTAATTTCATAACCTCTTTAATTGTTGGAGGAGATTGTGGGAGGCTCAGTGGTGGATATAGAGTGTTTTTCTTAATGGAAGACATAGGCTGATCTCTCAGACGGTTGAATTTGTTTTTCATATCTTTGCCTTGTTTTTTCTGCTTATTATTCATCTTGTGTGGTGTTTGAATTTTACAGAAAATTTTTGAACTCGATAAGCAATCACTTGTGTATTATTCGGTAATTATCTTTGAAGGCGATGAAAATGACCCTACTTTTATACAATACATAAACAATGAAATTTTAAAGGAGCACAATTAGTGTCCGAAAAATCAGTTCACCTTCAAAAAAAAATTTCCCATTTATACAGATTTTGCTCTCTATTAATTTATTGTGACGTAATTTGACCGACACAAGGATATATTAGTGATTATTAAACTGTGTTACACTCAAATATCAAGTTATCGTTGTTAATTTTTTTTTCTTTGTTAGTCTGCTCTTAAATAAAATTAAATTTAGTAATTTGAATACTATCAACGGTCACGCATATATAGAATTTTCGTAAATTTAATGCCATTCGACAATTTCGCGTAAAATTTACTAACCCACACCACAGTACATGCAACTAGGTATTAATCGTAAAGGTTGTTAAATCTGAACTAAAAAAAAAAAATTTTGCTCGCTCAAGATTTTGGCGCAAAGTGATTACACACAATAATAATTTACAGTGTGGATAAGCTGTGCTGTTGGCGTAAACAAAGTATTCATACATATGCGGATCGAATCCGCAGTTGTACGATGATGACAAATACATTGTTTCGATAATTATCCGTCGCCTTTTACAGTATGCCAATATGTATAACAAAAAACTCGAAAACTATATTGGGGTGATTATTACGAAGTAACATCTCTCCACGAAACTTTATTTTGCTAATCTCATTCGGAAATTAGTAGAGTAGCCAAGGCATCAAAATCTTTGTCCGATTTACAGTATTCATTTCGTATATTTTTAGCAATTGCACAAATAAATTTATAGCTAGAAAATTTTGAAATTTAATTCCATTTTCACTTTCAATCAACATTTGAGTCCTTGCCGTAGCAATGAATATCAAAAAGAAATCATAATGACTATATAATGTACAATTTATATGCCAATGATAAATTAACTGGCTCTAAATAAAAAAAACTTCCATAGTAAATGTCCCGGCAATGCACGTGTACTACAGTATGAATTGACAATGGGCATATTACTGTAATCTAAAAATAATGCTGCTGCATGAGAATGGTCATTCATATTCGTTTGCTTAGTAGTGATGCATGTAGATCAAATATATTAGGCATTTCATCAAAGATATACTGTACAATTTATTGTGCATGTAGCATATTAATAAAATATTTTAAAGAATTGCAAGCCGCAATTTTTAAAAGAAACAGAAACCAATAATGATTGTAATACTTTTATAATTCATTCTTCGGTTCCCATAGTTTACATAAAATACTAGAGAATTCCTTCATTCCTCATTAACAAATTTGTAATACGTTAATCTTGCTGTCGTTTTTGTTTGATGCTACGTCTATCATAGCCGGTTCGGACAAATATATTTTTAATATAATACAATAATGAAAAATTACACATAACAATTAAACTAAAAATTTAAAACTATACTCCTTTTTACTAAATAAACAAATCAATTAGTTGTGTTATTTATACATACAGTATCTATTAAACAAATGATTCCAAATTTATTAATTCATAAAATAAAAAAAACAATTACTGTGCCTTGTCTATTTGATGCAAAAGAAAGAAAGGAAGAAAGAAAAAATCATCGAGCCTATTACGATATACATGTACGCAATGTACTGATAAATTTTTTTATTTGAAGGTATATTACATGATTTTATACAAATATTTTTGAAAATCTTGATACAATTTGTTTAAAATTAATTTGATTAGGCGTTCAAAATAATCTTTTAAAAGAACCATATTTTAATTCTAAAAAATAGGAAAAAATCTATATACTGTTTTGGTGATCACGAGTCTGTCGCTTAGAGTTTATATTGTAACGGTACCGGCGAGTCTGTCGCAACTGATAGCTAAGATTCATGTAGCGATTGGTGAGTGTTTTTGTTGAGGATGAGGTAGATTTGATAGCGGTCAAAAAACTAGCCCTTTATTGATTTTCTTTTTCTTTCGTTTTTATACTTTCAACATACTAATTACATAATAATAATGATAAGTACCAATTAGGCTAAAACTACTAAAATCCCATTATGCAAACGATTGTTAGATAATTTCATATTTCTTCATTACCTAATTCATTAAATCTGCCTTGATCGATCCTTGCGCAATCCAGTCACGTGAATGTATCGCGAATTAATTTATTTCTGTGCATTTCTCATTTTCCCTGCTTACGCCAGTTTCAATCACACTGTTGTGCTCGATTCCGCTGGTTTCTACAATAATATCGCGGGAACCCAACATACAGTGTGAAGCGTGTTATTTTTGCCGCGGTTACAACAACATAGATCCGCATAACCGTGGCAAAGGGATGTGCGTTTTCGGTTTGACCAAATTCTGCTTTATTTTGTACATATAATAAAAGTGAAAAGTTAACACAATGAAAGTAAAATAAAAAATTGCACAAGCTGTTAATAATACCCTAATAATTACGTAATCATTGAATTATCCCGTGCCAAGATCGATCTTCAGAAAGATCTATTACTTGACCACGACACGGTTGGGTTGTATATTGGATAATAGTCTTAAGACATTTTTTAAAATATTCTAGCGCCACTTCTATTAAAACGGCGTGTTCCGTCCGAGTTAGATCTCGTGATAGTTCTGCGAAGACCAGCTACTCGGCGCGAATAATGTTACCTTTTACTATGCTACTGAATGTTAAATTAACTTTTTAGATAAACAAATGATGGCACTTTGTATTCTCTCATTATCACAATTATTAATATACATTATTCATTATTTCAAGAATAAAGATTCCCTCACAGAAATAAATATGCACATTTATTTCTCTTATTTTTTAAAACATATTTGATTGTCTTTCGTAATACGTACTGTAAGATTGATCGGTGATATGAATTTAACTTTCCATCATGATAAACAAAGAACTGAATAAATTAATTAATCCAATGTAAAAATCATACGTAGTTAAAATTCGTGTGCGAAAAATAAAATAATATTTGTATTTACGGTTCATATGTGTCGATAGATATTGTAAAAAAAAATAATTTATAGTCATCAAATTTAAAATTTCGATTTTACTTTTCCTAATCCGTATAAAGTCACGTATCCAAAAAGAAAAAACATCCATTCGCCTTATTAACTTGAATTTAAAAAATATGTCAGACGAGAAGGTAATAATAATATATTTAAGGATAAAAATCTAATTATAATATCGTTCATCAAGTAATTATATATGTAAAATACGAAAAACTCCGTCAGAGTCTCACCTTAATCATCAAGTGGAACCGTCCAACCAGGGAAAGTCCACAAAATAGAGAAATCAACAATAAATGATCCTCCTAAAATTTTGAATACGAATAAGCGGAATCCTATCTATTGATAAAAACTATGCAAAGACAATAATTGCTGGTTGCTGATCTCGTTTTCAGCACTCGATGTTTCATTCAAAATGTCAAACGTAAAATTATCAACTTCATCATTCATATAGAAAGTTGGAATATTTGTATATTCCTCTTGATAAAGTTGATTATATAAAGGATAAGGTGGGTAAGGTGGAATTAACACGAAAGGAGGATTAAAAAGCGATTCTCCTAAAGGATAAGAAGGATAGGATAAAATTGTAACGAAAGGATTTGAATATGATTCATTAGAGAAATCAAATTCATCTATAGGAAGCTGAGACGTGGTTGAGAGATGCTCATCGAGAGACGATTGATTTTTCATGAGATGATTCGTTCCAACCATTTGATTATACAACTCTTCAATTTCATTGGAAATTTTAGTATAGGTTTCCTTCACGTGATAGGGTTCGCTTTTCCACGAAAGGCTTACAATCTTGCTCACTTGGTTCATAGGTATATGAATATTGTTTTCTTTTAAATATTTAACATAAAATGTTCTATATAAAATAAATTTGTTTGGAAGGCGTCCTGATTTTTTCTTGGAAAGTAATTTTTCAACTAGACTTGTAATTTCTTCCATTGTTGGAAAAGATTGTAAACGTAATGAAGGTTGAATAATTGGTTTTTTAATTGAAAATACTGTTTGATTTATTAAATGTTTGTGTTTGTTTCTTGATTTTTTATCTTGTTTTTTCTTGATATTACTCATATTACGCGTGGTGTTTGATAATAATAATGTAAAACTAAGGTTTCAACTTGAGTATTTATATCTTGCTTGGTCTTGACTTGCAATTGACAGTGTACAAGGCGTCAATATGATATTGACTCTCTTAGATTTATTGTATGTAATCATATACCGTGTATTAAATTCAATTTCCTTAAAAAAGATTATTGAAAATAAAAATGTTGTACGCGACAGTTCGTGTCCCGGCAAGTCTCAAGTAACTATTTTTAGTTTTCTTTGTTAATTGCTCTTAGAATATATTCGATTTGGAAATTCTATACTATTAATTGTGTAACAGAAGTCTTATGTAGTTAGAACATTCCTGAATTTAAAATTATCAAATGTATTCTCAAAAATTTTTTAATGGTTTTACTAACCCACGTACGTGTGACTAGATACTCTATCGCAAAGGTTTTACTAGAAATAAAAATCATACGCATTCAAAGTTGCAACAGTGAATTGATTATGCACATACCATAAATGGACAAACACTCACCTACTATATCAAATTTGGATAACAAAGAACTTGAAACCTATAGGGGTGATTGATATTTTTAGTCACCAGAGAGGTAAGGCGTTTGAGGAGGATCGTATAGATGGTCATCGAGTTGAACCTTTATTGAATATTATCTTTTTTTTGTTATGAACGCTATCAGAAGTATTTTCCTGAAACAAAAGAAGTTGGCCATGCATCCATACACTTTAATAATGTCTGCTTTGCTCAAGATTTTTCTATATGCTTCCTTTATATGGTAGGGCTCCATCTTCCATGAACGTCCAACCATAGAGATAGATGTGTCATAGGGATACTGTAGCCATTGTCCTTTAGATATCTAACATACATATTTCTGTATATGATAAATGAATTTAGAAACCTGCCAACCTGGGTTTCGTAGTTAATTTTTAGCCACTTTTATTTCTTCTTGAATTATAGGAGACCATGGCAAAGGTAATGGAGGATATAGTGGCATCTTCTTTAGGGTGAAAACAAACTGACACCTCATATTGTCTACAGTGTTTTACTCTTTAGGGGTATAAGATTGAAAAAAAAAAAAAACAGAAGAAAGGTAAATTTTGGTACCGATAAAACGCAGAGTTTTTATACCGATTCGAGGGCCTATAAACAAAGGAGCGTTTTTGATATCAGATCTTTCGGATTTATTATTGTATGTGGTCACAGTCTAAATCAAATTTCCTTTAAAAGAGCAATTAAAACAAAAAACGTAGTACAACTATTTTTGATTTTTCTTTGTTTGATTTTTTCTTTAAATACTGTCGTGTAACGGTAGTACAAATGGTTTTTTTTTAAACACTACATATTCTAGAATTTCATAATTGGATACAAATTATGACAGAAAATTGATCGTATAAAGCTTGGTATTCAGGGTAACAGTACGTTACATAAAGTGTGCACAAACATTTACCTACTACAGTATAGTAACCTAGATAACAGAAAGTTGAAACTGATAGGGAAGATTAATTCTAATTACAAAGTAACCTCTTCCTCCGAAATAAAAGAAAGTTAACTGTGCATTCAGATTAAAAATTTTTTTTTGTTCAAAGAATGCTGCGAGTATATGTGCTTCTAAATAATTTGTTCCTTCGTTATTATTTTTATTGGATAACTCTATACATATTTATATACTGTACGTAGTCACCCTAAAAAGTGACGCCCGATTGCTTTATCCATTTAAATCGATTTTTGGTAAATTTTATTTATTTATTTCTATATACATAAAAAAAAAATTTTTTTTATCAAATTTATTATTCTTCTGTTAAAGCAATCCTTGAGCTCATCCACAGTTTTGGAAGATTTTTATGTTTCGATATATTGTTTAACAGTTTCATGTTCGTTTTTAACAATTTTCGGATATTTTCAATTGGATTCCGATTAAGGAATTTGCAGGCCACATTATTTCTTGCTTGCTAATTGAGTTCTTAGAACAAAAACTCCCTAACAAATAAAATTAAATAATACAATTTATACAAGGGACGCTTTGATTATCATTAAAGACGTTAACATTGAGAAATACCGAAGAGTGATCGCACTCTCCTGTATGGATGCTTTAAGGTTACTTCTTTCACACCACTTTCTTGTTGCCTTGATACGCGTTATGTTCTATCCCATCCTCCTCCTTCGACCTTTGTGTCGTAGGGGTTTTTGTTTTGACTTCAGTGTCAGACTCATATAACGAGTGAAAATTTTGTTTGACTTTTATGTCCATGGTAGATATTCCTCTGTGCTGGTGTGAATTTCATACTACTTCAGCCAAACCTCGGAATTATGACCTCCGGGCCGTGTGTATCCTTTGGCGCGTACTTTGCGTATTTATTTGGTGTCTGACAACTTTCCTTAACCAGGAACAAGGTAAGTCAGAAGCAGTTAAATAATACTTGGAAAAGAGAAAACTAAAACACGAAGTTTGCATTGAAGAAGTTAATATGTTAATTATTGCAACCTTTATTATCTCTTATTTATTATATACTGTATTAGACCCGTCATGTTCTAGACGCGACGTTAGATACATAAAAGCAAGGTCATTTGCTACGAAAAATAATTACGAAAAAGTTAGAAGAACGGAGTGTCTCCCAAGTCAATTCTAATTAAGGGTACAGTTATTGACATGAATGATTATTTTGTGCTTCAATTCTTCAGATCAATTTTGTACAAGGTCAAATAAAGCGACAAGAACAGACATCGCAAGATCATATCTATCCGTCTTTCCTACTTTCGGAGGTTAATATTGTAAGAGGTAAAATAAAAAAAAAGTTATAATAATAAAATTTTTGTATAACTCTAGCAGGTACACGATAATGTGGTCATAGATATGTGATTAGCATAATGAAGGTAAATGCGAGTATGGGAGATCGTACGCGTCACGTAACGAACGACGATACTATACCGTCACGTGATCGATATACGCTGAATAGCGCGAGATCCGATCCTGCCACGACCAGTCAGTATAATGACTGTGAGCGACGATAATGGCATTGTAGAGATTTTTTATGTAATCTTTATGTAACTACATTTTATCATTCTATAATTAGTATGTTTAATTATTTTATGTAATGATAGAAAAATGTATAAATGAGAAAAATGTCATTAATAAAGTGTGAGAAGTGAGCAGAACTCAGTAAAGTCGTGCGTCTCAAATCCCCTATTTTCTATATTAAATTACCAGTAAGGTTACGCGAATTTCTGTTGACAATAGCGACAGACTCGCCGTTTTCCCGTTACAATATACAGTAACTATGACTATGTTAAAGTTCAGTTGAAAGGGTATTTAAATGACTTGCGAATTTTCAATGCATATAATAGAATCACAGTCAATTCTGATTTATATGCCCAAAAACAATGAGATATGTGAAAATTGGAGCGGCAAGAAAATCAAATCAAACTATAGAAAGCATTTAACAAGGAACAATCATCGGAATTAAATGACGATTACGATTTAATTGATCACGAGGTAGTTTATCTTGACATTGCATTTCATGTATAACTAATGTACTCACTGCTATTCAACTACCCGAAAGTGAACAATTGCTGTGCTAATGATAATAGGTAATTTAGCTTTGTTTTATTTCGCATGTAAAAATTGTGTATTTCGCTATTGTTCAATTCTAAAAATTGACTAGTTTAAGTTTTGAGAATGTGTCTGAATGAAGGACCGACGATCATTTCCTAATTTAATACTGGAAAATCAAACAAGGGATCAAACGAACGAATTCGAAGATTTCTTTAGTCAATTCCCTGAAGATAATTGTGGTTGTATTTAAGTCCCTACCCTTGTAAGAAAATCTTTGCTGTGAGACGGCTTGGCCCTTTTCTTTATGAAGGGCATGGCATTGCGCAACCTATCATGACACATTTATATGTAGTATATGCATGTTGCTGTAGGCTTTCTGGCGAGTCGGTCACCGATCTTTCACACAATACTTATCTCGTGGCGTAGCGTCAGCAAAACAGTAAGGTAGGTTTCTTCCTTACTCTTGAGACGTGTCCTCAATTTGGCCGGTCTTCACTTTAACCTCTCTACTGACTAACCTAGAACCCTTCCAATGTTAATTCCTTTAGGAAAAGCCTCGGTTCTCTCTTTAGTTGCGTGGCCCAAGTTACAAGTCTACTTTGGCCCACCGAACATAAAGTAAGAGCTATTCTTGAATGTTACTTTATTGTTTGTTACTTAACAAGCTCTCAACTATAAACTAACTTTACATGCTATCGAACTGCGCACATATTTATATATGCGCCTATTGTTTACATTATCTGCTATTTCTACTTTATTCTTGAAATTCCCACCTCTAAATTTTCCCACCATAATCTATCACTATTCACGACAACAAGTTGACGTAACGTGATATCGCGTCACATACCTGCATCGCGTTTGCCTGTAACAGTATGTATCTTTGTTTACGTAAAATAAATGTCACTAATAATAAATAAGTAGTTCGGAGCGATTGAAGGCCCGAGTCAAATGCATCGAGTCTCGAAAGGACTTACGCTATTGATACGAGTATATTTATAATAAACTGGCTCTCTGGAATGCACCAGGATGTGTTGGATTGAAACTGGCGGTGTCAGATTTGGATTTCCGATATACTATATTACATCTAATTTCCTTTTATTTGATTCAGGATCCAAATACTCACTGCAGCCACAAAAGAACCGTAAGAATGATGGCATTTTAAATTCTCTCAATGTAAAGAAAGAGAATCACCGAGAATAGAAATTGATGAGTTTTCAAAAGGGATAAAGACCTGATATAAAGGATGTTGACAACAAGGTTAAACTTGGTCGAAATGCCATGCAAAATTTCCTTATACTGTATGTATTCATAATACAGTATCATTTAAAC